TCCTCCCCCCTCCAAAATGTCAATATATAACTGACTGACCGCGAGGCCCCGGGTTCTATCCCCAATTGGGTTGATGGATTCGCACTGTTGATGAGACCCAACCAGGTCGAAACAGCTGTCCAGTGCTTCCTAGCTTTTCAATTCACGCTTCATTTGCCATATACAAGACGAATTCACCTGTGAAATTGAATCAAATCCTTCATTACTCACTTGAAAGACTAAATATCCATGGGAACAACTAGATTTAAAATTCCTTCAAAATGTTTGTTAAGCTTTTATCGCCATTTCGGCTAATGGTTAGATCGTGTTAGGACTTCCACAAACACAAAAGTCTGATCCGTTAGTTTTCCATCTAATTTCTGTTTCAAATAAACCGTCTACTCAAATTTTATCCCATTCTGAATACACAGCTCCGTTAAACATACACTCCATCCACTAAATGAATTGATTACCACGCCTACAAAGATCATCGCTTGTCCGTTTTTGGCTCATGGAAATAATCCCAACAACAAGTTGTACATGATTATGAATATGCGCCCTTACATACAAACACACACTTCAAGGCAGTGCACCAAAATAGTGATCGTTAACCCCCTTGCGGCAAGGTCCAATTTCGCATTTGACTTGTTTTGATCGAGTTAACAAATCACAATCGATTGATGCAGCCAGTCATGTGCGTCTGTCATTGATTTATTTTTTTCACGCATTCAAACCTCCCCAGTGTACTTGTTGTTAACACTAATTTTAATATGTGCATTGTTTTTGCTGACAGTTTTATTGCTCTGCTAGGCTATAAAATCCAACAGAATCTGTTTGTCAAAACACAGCCCTTTAGTGGAGAAGTTTCTCACCAGCGTTGTGGGGGCAAATTCAAAGGGTATTTTATAATACTGAAATTATACGCTACCCAACGGAAGTTGGTGTATGGTTTGCTTGTAATTTACATCCTTGGATATGAAAATCGTTGAGTTATAAATTTGGCACTTTTGATTCATGGTTTGGGAGCTACAACAAGTAATTACGAATCATTCTTTCTTCGATGATATCAACAATGGTTGAATAGTTTAATATCATACAATAATCGTGTTTATCAGGTTGTACGTCTTTAGGGCGTGATCAAGGCGAAATGCACAACGGATATTGTTAAACGATCTGAAGGTGTGATAAGTTGTTACCAGCTAAGTCCAATATTTTGTCAACAGCAGCATAACTTCAATAAAACCAAATTAAAACGGATGGGTTAATGGTCACTGCAGAGAAAGCATTCGACCCGTTTTCACAAATTGGTGATTAATGTGTATGTGAATAAGAGAAACACGCCTGATAATTACCGAACCGTGGCTGTAACCAACTGTGTCACTGGCAATGAAATCGGCAGTATGTTATCACGTGAATAAACATTGCTGTTCGAAAGTATGAAGCAAAGCTAGATATGACCTGTCATGCACAGCACCTGATTTCGAAACTACACGCAATGAACGGTTGCACTCAGTGCACCAGCATTCGGCTCACTTGGAGAGAACGGTGACTGAAATTGGAGTGTACGTTTTCAGTGACTAGATTCTTTCTAGTGGTGTTGGCAGCTTGGGTGAGGAACTAGAAAAGATGGTTCAATTTTACAGAAACAGAAACCAAAGTAGTAACGGTAGGTAAGAGACAGAGAAGGAATAATGTGGTGACAAACAAGTCGCTATAAAAGTAGATTGTTGGAAAAGATTCGTTGATTGGGCGTTGGATCGGGCATAAGGAGAGTGGCACAGCAGCACTACAGACATAAATGTAGGAATCTGCGGTCAGATTAGTTTGGGCTTTGCATAATCGTAGAATAAAGCCTCTGGACTAAAACAAAATATTCCGAACCCCCTGAAGGTACCGCTGTTAAACCCAAGAGAGAAAAAATATAGGCAGATATAGACAGATTGAGAATGAATAGGGAAAATGAAGGTGGAGTTTACGGAACTGGCATGTCCCGAACGCAACAATCGTCACTGGCTAGACTTGAACAGTAACACAGAGAAGCTGCAAAACTGCCGCCCAGGCAACCAAAAGACAACCTGGTTGGCAACGGATGTGTACACATCCGCAATGATTTATACTGACAAACTTTTGGCCGTCATTAATCGATTATTGAATAAATTTCTTCAGAATAGTGTAAATGATACAAGTGAAAACTTCTGACTAGTCGACTACGGTCAGTAACTTTCTATACCCTTCCCAGCTGAGCACTACACCTGGATTTGCTGTAACTGAACAAACCCGATAACTTCCACTTCGCCCGTTCGCTGAGCTTGGTAAGAACCGATTTTCAATACTTTGTCAAATCCGATAACTACACGCTTATGTACCATCCACCATCGAATAGTCAATCTGAAAATTTTGTGGCCGCATTCAAATGTGTGACTGTTAGTTGAATCTCATTTTTTCTATCTTCCCAGCTATCTTTCCTCTCCATCCATTGGCAAAAATGATTTAGGTCCTGATTGTAGCACGCTGCCTCGTAATCAAAAATCACTGTGGCTAATTTATTATGTTGCTTGAATTGCACAATCTAAATTTGAGAAAACACTTTAGAAAGTGGAAAAATAATGGTTGATCTACCAGAAGCATATAAGCTAAGGTTATAAGTTCTCCGCGACACTGTGGTGATTCACTGCTTCGAGATAATGCCAACGGGGGTGGCGCATGATATAGTATTTTTGTATAATTTTAACTGGAATGTAGGCGTTATGAATACGTCAACTATTGCAATACCAATAACAATAGTTTCAAGAAGATCAATAAGCAACTGGTGTTCGAAACCGATGCAATTCACCGCGGTCTCCCCAGGAATATGATGACACGGACACTGTTCAGTTAACACTTGCTTACTTAATTACCTGCACATTATTTGTTTCTTTTGATTTCTTTCAATAAACCAATCATTCACACTGTGCCTTCCTTCCCGTACCTCGGTGGCGGTAAATTCAACTGGCAGAGTGCGAGGGCCTCTGTAGTGACACACTACCACTTCCTCCTTGCATGAATTATGCCTTTGTTGCATCATGTTGTATGCAATTATTCCGAGTATTTCACCTACTCTCGAATCAGCCAAAATTCGTGTCTGAATGGGGAGGTTTGGATGAATATTAACTATTGGGTGGACTGCAGTTTTAGTCGCCTTTGTGAATTCGTTCTGATGACACAGGATAATTAATTTTTCTGAGAACGACATGGTGATTTCCAATTTAGGAACTCGTTACCCTTGACGAACTGAGCGGACAAATCAAGATCACATTAAATTCTTACATGACACATACGGATTAGGGACTGAATCAGTAAAACAGCTGTTTCCCTTCTAACGTGCGCTCTATAATTCATTTATGGAGAGCAGAGCTGTAGGCTATCCTAGGTCGCGGATAGGGGAACGGCCGTCAACTCACGGCTAACCGTGAGTAAGGTGGGCTTCGGCCCTTCGAAAAGACGGTCGCGGACCATCAGCCGCAGTGCTCGAAGATGTTGTGGGTTTACCTCCTGACCAGAGTAAGCCTCACAAAACACCACACATCTGTGGACAGCCCTGTGACGTGGCGAGTATAGCCCGCCACTAAACATGGCTATCGCCCCTTGACGAAATTTATTGTTCGGCAAAGTTTTCCAGAAGAGGCGAATTAACCGAAAACTGGCCACCGGCTCATCTGGAACATCGCTGCTGCCCTGCAGTCCGCACTTGGTTATGCAAAAGCCAGAGTGCATCCTCGAATAACGCCTACTCTGGACCTGATGACCGAGTAGTAAAACAGCCAATAATGATGAAATATTCAATTCTTATGTGTCTTAAGTGTACAATTTCTGCAATGAACGCTCTATACCATAAACACATTCGTGTCCCCTCAGCTCTCCTCCATCCCACCTTCACTTCCTTAACCTATCCCTCTCTCGGGTTCTTCAGACGACCGTGCTAACATAAGTGCCGCAGATGAAAACCCAGTCGCTGTTCTCTGGTTTCCTACTGCGAATACTGTCCAAGTCCGGTCCTATCCTTCACCAGCTGAAGCCCTTATTCACCCTCTATGCCCTTCAAACTAGCCACATTCTGATGCATATAAAACAACAGGCTTTCTTAGCTCGAGTCCCTAGCTGTTAATGTGTGTTGTATACAAGACAGTCGCATTCAAAACTCCAGCGATTGACGTATCCATCAAACCCATCAGTGAAGTTTCACTTACATCTCTCTGAGGACCCTTAGGCTGTGGCCTCCGGTCTTGCTGGCGTTGGCTTGGCTCTCAGGAAGAGAGCTGAAGCTGCCCTCCCGGACTGGTTCCCAGTCGACAGTAGGTTGTGTGCAGTGAGACTTAGAGGTTCATGCAAAGTAAACAGCCGTTGCCCCGATAGACGAAAGCTGTTTGTCGTGTCGGCGTACGTCCCAACGGACTGCAGCCCAGATACAGTCAAAGATGAATTTTACCATAATCTACACGAACTCTTGCGTAAAGCGAGTCGAGCTGATATCGTGATTTTAGCAGGAGATATGAATTCTAGAGTAGGTCGGTGGACGTCGAGTGAGGAGCATCTGGGAGATCCTTTCGGACCAGGTTCCTGTTGCTCGGAAAACTGCTATTCTCTCTGTGTTCCGACCACCGCCTATTCCTCGCCAGTACGAACTTCAGGCGCTCCAACTGCCGGTACGCCACCTGGCGTCCGCTCTCCTTGAGTCGGAGACGGACGCACGGACCACATCGCTATAAGCCACAAATGGCCAGGTGGCATACAAGACTGTCGATCGTGCTGGAGGCCTGCCCTCGAATCCGATCACGCTTTAGTTTGCGTCAAGCTGCCCATGTGATTTAGTGCCTGTTCCAAACGCATGGCACAACGACGGTTAGAGTGTAACAAGTTGTCTGAAACAGCACGTCTGTGAAGTCGCTATGAAATCCGACTTTCCCTTAAGGGAATGATGTACATCGCCGCGGTTCGGAGCTTTCTGCTTTACGGTTGCGAGATCTGATCTCTCCGAGGTGAGGATGCTAATCAACTTTCTGTATTCGAAAACCGATGTTTCCGAAGCATTGCTCGTGTCTGATCGGAACATCGGGTGAGCAATGACGAGGTCCGTCGTCGTGTGTTGGATGTAGATAGAGGCCATTACGATCAGCCACCCCGGTATACGAGGTCGGTAAAAGCAGCGAACTGACTGGATCGTGCACCTATCTAATTG